GATCTTTGTGCTTGAACAACCATTACACCTCCTCACTGTGGTACTTGTTGGGTGCCATTTCCCTTAGCTTGTTTTGGCACCTGCTTTAATAATCAGGCTTGGGTCACAAACCTCTGGAGAAGGCAACACGCAATAAATTGTGCACTGAAAGTTCACGTCTGACCATTTCGCATAAGTGTGCAAAACACCTATTTTTGACCCAACTACTCCTTGTAGAACTATCAGGATAAGACCCTGGACATACTGGGACCAGCCACAAAATATTATGAGGCAATAGAAGATACTCTATATAACAGCCGTCAGCTAGATTTGCTGACTTTGCAGGGATAGATCTAGAGACTGGAATGCTTCACGACATTGCTACAGAATGCCAGAAATCTATTCTCCTCAAAATTGAGCCCACATTGGTAAATTTGGCCCTAAATGAACCAGGGGCAAATCCGCAAGGATTCCTCAGTAGAGGATCACTGCGCAAGATAAGGTTCAGGTAAACATGTGCAAAATTTTTCACCTTAAGCTTTCTGCTGGGGCTGGACAAACCAGGAGCCGTCTGTCTGTTCGTCCTCTGAGAGGTTTGTCTCACATGAGCCGCGTTTCTAATTCAGGTACATGCTCCATGCCGGAGTTCAATCCTAACCAAACCTCCATTCCATAATGCAGCAGACCATGGTCCAACAGAGGGACACGAGGAATGCCTTTGGGATGATGCCATTATGCTAAACTTGCTTAATTTCCCTTCTTCCCTAAAATCAGTGGTGGCACAACTAACACATTTTTCCCCATATGTGGCCTCTAATAATTTTTGATACCTGGGTTCTCAAACCTGTGCAATGGTATGCCATAGAGTACATGGCTCTGCCTCTCTAATTTTTTCCACCCGATGGGATTGTTTTTTCCCCACAGGATGCTCATCTGGTCTTCCAGGAAATCCAGGAGTTGGCCAAAAGGGCTATTAAGGAACTCCTGTTACCTACACTGGGATTTGTCAGCAATCTGTTTTTTTATTTTTCTTTTTCCAAGAAAGGAGGTGGCGTTCAACTCATAATCAACTTGAAACCTATCAACAACTACATCACGTATCATCACATCAAAATGGAAGGGATCCACTGTCTATGCAATCTACCTGCAGATTGGATGGCCAAATTGGATCTAAAAGATGCGTACCTCATGGTTCCTATAGCAGTAGACGATTGCAACTTTCTGCAAATCATTTAGGAAGGAAGTGGAGGTTCACATGCCTTCCTTGCGGAATCTCCTTGACTCCATGGTGCTTTACCAAAATCATGACGCCGGTGGTCACCTTCCTGAGAAGCCGAGGTGTGCGTCTCATTTACCTCGACAACATCTTATTAATGTTTTCTTTCCCAAGTCTGCTTCACTTAACCTGGACCATGAACCTCCTTTAAACTTTGGAACCCAGCTTAGTCAAGTATCTAAGACTGAAAGTCCTCCAAAGCAGTAAATATGAGCCAGTGAGTCTAGGCTGCCATGTATCTGTCTGAAATGTCCGGAAGTTGTGGCCAACAACTCCTCCACATTATGTAGCCCCTCAACACATTCAATCCAATCCATAAAGGTAAGGGTGTAATGGGACTTCCAACGCACAGGCACAAGAGTCCTAACTGAAACTGCAGGCTATAGAGCACTTAAAATTATCTACAGAAGCTGATCTATTAGACAAAATATAAGATTCTGGTTCAAAGGGGAGATTCTCTCTGTAAATCTCCCAGACTATGCCGTGTACAATCTCCAATGTGTTTAATCAAGGAGCAAGACCAGCACACGTGCAGATAAAATCTAGGCTCTTTGTCACATCTCCTATACGTTGAGTAGGCTGGGAGTTGTATTATCATTGATTTTCTTCTTTTCTATGATTACCTATAATCACCCCATTTTATGGAAGAAATTCTCTCTTGCCTCCTCTTCCACCACGTCCATTATTAAGACAGAAGAATGTTTCATTCTTATTGTTAAAACATTCTTATTGTTGAATTTATGGTTTAATAATAAAATTAAAATTTCCGTTGAAAGCCCCTTTTTTTTAAATTAAGTTACTTATGGCATTCATATTCAACTGTATAACAGAATGCCACAATTATAAAACAAAACATGGCAAAAAAGAAAAACATTAAATGACCCTGTTCAAAAGTCTGCATACCCTTAGTTCTTAATACTTTAGCATCAATGATAGTGTGAAATCTTTTGTAAAAGTTGTCTATGAGATCCCCAATTCTTGCAGGTGGTATAGCTGCCCATTCATCTTGGCAAATTGCCTCCAGGTTATGCAAAGTCTTGGTCATCTTGCATGAACAACACGTTTGAGATCTCCCCAGAGTGGCTCGATGATATTAAAGTCAGGAGACTGTGATGGCCGCTCCAGAACCTTTACCTTTTTCTGCTGTAACCACTGGAGGGTCAACTTGGCCTTGTATTTAGGTTCATTGTCATGCTGGAAAGTCCAAGAGCGTCCAATGCGCAGCCTTCGTGCAGAAGAATGCAAATTATCTGCCAGTATTTTCTGATAACTTGCATTCATCTTGCCATCAATTTTCACAAAATTCCCTGTGCCTTTAGAGCTAACACACCCCAAAACATCAGTGAGCCACCAATATGCTTCACAGTGTGGATGGTATTCTTTTCACTGTAGACCTTGTTAACCCTTTCTCCAAACTTAGGGGTATGACCATAAAGCTCTATTTTGGTCTCGCCACTCCAAATTGCAGTGTGCCAGAAGCTGAGGCGTGTCAAGGTGTTGTCAGGCATATTGTAACCAGGCTTTTTGGTGGCATTGGTGCAGTAAAGGCTTTTTTTTTTTTGAAACTCGACCATGCAGCTTATTTCACGAATCGTCATATTGTGCTCCTTGAAACAACCAAACCATCTTTTTCCAGATCAGCCAGTATTTCTCCTGAGGTTACCTGTGGGTTTTTCTTTGTATCCCGAACAATTCTTCTGGCAATTGTGGCTCAACTCTTTCTTGGTCTACCTGACCTTGGCTTGGTATCAAGAGATCTCCAAATTTTTAACGTCTTAATAAGTGAGTAAACATAACTAACTGGGATTTTCAAGGCTTTGGATAACTTTTCATATCCTTTTCCATGTTTATAAAGTTCCATTACTTTGTTACGGTCTTTTGACAGTTCTTCTCTACATGGCTCAGTATCTAGCCTGCTCAGTATATCCACGTGAGAGCTAACAAACTCATTGACTATTTATACACAGACACTAATTGCAATTTAAAAATCCATAGGTGTGGAAAATTTACTTTGCATTGCCATTTTAACCTGTGTGTGTCATCTTGTGTATCTGTAACAAGGCAAAACATTCAAGGGTATGTAAACTTTTGATCAGGATTATATGGATGATTTCTGTTATCTGTTTGATTTAAAAAGGTGCCAAACAACTATGTGATAATAAATGGCTTCATATAATCACTATCCTTCATTAAAATAATATTTTTTGCATGATCAGTCATATTATAAAAATCAATGCCAAAATTTCACAATTTCTGCAAGGGTATGCAAACTTTTGAACACAACTGTAGAAAGGCTGAGCCTGAGTGGGTGGGTTTACCGGGACTATAAATATACAGGCCACCCCTTTCCTTGGGACGATACTGCCTGGTTCAACCCACCTACCTCTCTCTTCATCAAGTCATTCAATTTTGGTAGGCCCTTTTTTTTTATAGGCCTATGTGAATGTCTATTTGGGCACATCACAAGCGACCTCTACCACCACTACTATAACTCTGCTTATTGTAACCAACTGCAAATTATGTTTTCCTAAGCGTGTCATTTCACAAATACTGTTTTTAAAGGATTAACAAATAACTGAAAAATAAAACTGTAAATTTACATAACTTTTTATTTTTGTCTGCAATACAATCTATACACAAAATTGCTGTGATATATGCATCCTTTGCTTCAAATAAATGTTATGCTAGGATGACTATTTCTCTTCCTGCTGTCTTGTTTGGGCTATCTATCTTGTCTGTCTATTAGTATTATGGGAAGGCATTGGATTCCTCTGTGTTGTTGAGCTGCATCTTCCATAGTGCTTTGCTATTTTAAAATTGAAAAGTCATTGTGGCCCTGCTGTCCACACAGTCCTGATCTACCTATTTTTGAGGACACTATTTATTCGGAATAGATAGGTTCTGTTCTCAGGATTTGTATACTCTATGACAGGGGTAGGCACTCCAGATATTGTGGACCACATCTCCCCTGATTCCTTTTGCGTATTAAGGCTGTAAGAGTATTATGTGAGATGTTCTGTTATTTATATAGCGTCAACAAATTCCACAGTGCTTTACAGTGGGTGGACGAACAAACATGTAGTTGTAACCAGACAAGTTGGACACAAAGGAACAGAGGGATTGAGGGCCCTGCTCAATGAGCTTACATGCTAGATGGAGTGGGGTAAAGTGACACAAAAGGTAAGGATAGTATTAACAATAACAATTAGTATTAACTAATGACGAGAGGAATCAGTCGGGAGTTATTAACAGTTTAATTGATACGCTTTTATGAAGAAGTGGGTTTTAATGATTTTTTTTGAAGGAATGGAAACCGGGTAATCATCTAATGGAGGAGGGAAGTGAGTTCCACATGAATGGTGCAGCCGTTGAGAAGTCTTGAAGGCGAGCATGAGAGGTGGGAGTACGGACAGAAGATAGACGTAAGTCTGCAGAAGAGCGAAAGGGCCTAGAAGGGATATACTTGTGTATTAGGGAGGATAGATAGGTGGGAGCAGCATTATGTAGGGATTTGAAAGCAAGAACCAGAATTTTAAATTGAGCCCTATATCTTACAGCAAGCCAATGTAGGGACTGACAGAAGGGGGAGGCGTGGGCAGACAGGAAGATGAGCCTTGCCGCCGCATTCATAATTGACTGTAACGGCACAAGTTGGGAGCACGTGAGACCACTGAGAAGCGGATTACAGTAGTCAAGGCAGGAGAAGACAGTACTGTACATGAGGCGTGAAGGAGAGGTCGGAGTCAAAGAGAACACCTAGGCAACGATCCTGCATGGTGGAACTGTAGTACCGTTGACTTGGAGGGAGAAAGACACAGGAGTAGCAACACTTGAGGGAGGAAAGGCCAAAATTTCAATTTTGTTCAAGTTGAGTTTAAGGAAGCGGGCAGCTATCCGGTTAGAAATAGCAGAGAGGCAGTCAGAGACAGTAGTCAAGAGGGGCAGGGAGAGATCAGAAGAGGACAGCTAGATTTGCGTGTCATCCAAATAGAAATGATTTTGGAAGCCAAAGGAGCTAATGCATTTACCAAAGGAGGCAGTATAGATGGAGAACAGTAGGGGACAAAGGACTGAACCTTGGGGAACACCAACATAGAGGAGTTGGGGAGAAGAAGCAGAGCCAGAGAAAGAAACACTGAAAGAGCGCTGGGAGAGGTTGGAGGAGCACCAGGAGAGAGCAATATCTTGTAGACCGATATTGTGGAGGATGAGAATCAACAGTGTCAAAAGCCGCAGGAAGGTCAAGGAGAATTAGAATAGAGCAGTGACCACGAGATTTTGCAGCGAGTAGATCATTGGATACTTTGGTCAGTGCCGTTTCCACAGAGTGCTTAGCGCGGAAACCAGACTGAAGCGGGTCTAGCAGAGAGTTGGAATCAAGAAAGTCTGTCAATCTCACATGCACAACTCTTTCAAGGATCTTGGATGCAAAAGGCAGTAGCAAGATAGGAAGGTAGTTGGACGGGGAGTTAGGGTCAAGGTTGGACTTCTTTAGAATTGGGATTATAGTTGCATATTTGAAGGGCGATGGAAATATGCCGGAGGAGAAAGAGAGATTGCGAATTTTAGTAAGACGTAGAGAAAGAGAAGAAGAGTATGGATGAGATGCGAGGGAATTGGATCTAGGAAACAGGTGGTGGGGCGAGAGGACTGGAGCAGAGCAGAAACCTCTTCCGCTGTAGCGGATGCAAATGAACATAGAACAACAGAGGGAGTGAGGTTAGGGGAAGAAAAAAGATGAGAGATCTCTTCCCTGATTGTAGAGATTGTCAGTGAAGTGAGTTGAAACGTCTGAGGCGATCAAGTTAGTAGATGGAGGAGGAACAATAGGGCGAAGAAGCGAGTTAAATGTGTGAAATAATCGTTTGGGTTTGCGGGAGAGTGTGGTTATGTAGTCACAGCCAAGTTTTTGAGCTAACCCTATTATTGTGATGCTGTCATGGATATTATATTATATATACACACACACACACACTGTGTGTAGGAAACGAAAACTATGGTAAGCATGGCTACATTTTCTATAATTGTGTTGTGCACAAGTCTGTCAATCCCTCCTTGCCTCTGGCATTCTGTTCATTCCCTTCTCACAGATTTTGTGTTTATGGAGGGTCTCCTTCACCTTGTTGTCAGGTATCCCCCTTCTATAAATTGTAAAGCAATGCAGATTATGGTAGTGTATTATATAAATGGTAGTTCACAACCATTCAAACTGTACTGAATAACCCTGGCAGTCTATTTTGTAATTTAACTCTAGTATAGTTGCATAAAAAATAAAACAAGTTCAGCTGAAGATATAATGAACAGCTTTAAAAATAATTGTTTATAAATCTCGCTGGCAGACATCGTGCTGACTCCCTCCTGTTGATATCCATCCCTCCCCCCCCCCCGAATATGGACTGAAATGAAACCTCATCACCCCCAATGACTGCTTGTACAATGCATCCACCCGGGCACACTGCCGCCGAGCCTCCCGCCGCAGCTAGCCAGCAACTGGCAGAATAGCTCTCTCCGGAGCCGTAAAGCACACCCCCTCGTCGCACAGCTGCTTGCTTGAAGTCTTGTGTCGTGAATGCCGAGCCTCGCTTGGCGGCTGCTGCATTTCTGTCCGCGGAGTTTGAATTGTGTTTGAGAGCGAGAGACACGGAAGCCGTAATAGTTGTGATGATGTCCTATTAGAAGTGTCATTGCTGGGGGCAGATCAACTACTGCCAGCACTGTCCGGGTATGTCAGTGTGTCTGTCTGTGTGTGTGTGTGTATAGGTCTGTCTGTCTGTGTGTCTGTGTATGTGTGTAAGTGTGTGTCAGACACTGACAGCTTTTGCTTCACTAATATCCATTCACATGTAACTTTTGAAATCTGTATTTATTTCACATATCTTCACAAACTACTGACATAAAGTTAGACCATTTGAGATGTAGACTACAAGTCGTATGATGAGTTGCCAGCATCAAGGCCTGGGAAAGCATCATAGGAGTTGTAGTTCTCCATATCCTCTGCTCTGCCTTGTGGCCAGCCCTGCCTAAATGATCTCACTGTTTGAATTTTCGTCCTCACTCCCAAAAACAAATGGGGTCCTAGAATGTAACCGATGTAGTTTTGCCTTGTTTATTGCATTCTGTAGGGAAGTATAATTTTCATTAACAGGGCTGTTTACTAAAGTGAATTTCAAATTGATTTTCAAATTTACAGGAACACTATAGTGTTGGTAAGTTGTATTCCTAACACTACAGTGTTCCTGTTCGCCCGCCCTTAACCCTTTAAGGACAGAGCTTCAGAAGCTTGTCTTTCACTTAATGACAACAGCAGTTTTTGCTGTTTACGTTCAACTGCAATTTGCATTTTACTAATTTATTGCACCGACACATATACCGTTTTTTTAAAGGACAGAAAGGGCTTTAATTTGATGTAACATATATATATATATATATATATATACGCTTATTTATTATAAAAAGAATAAAAAAAATTGTTTGTGTTTTTTTTTTTACAGTTTTTGCAATAATAATGTGTGCATAATTAGTGCAGGTTAAGGAAAGTAATTCAAAATAAATTCATTTAGTTGTTCTGATTTACAGAATATATAATGTGTCCAGGGTTTTAAGTTTTTTTTTTTTTGGTAGTTACAGGTCACAGAGCACAAGGAGTAAAATAAACTTTTAATGTGGAGCGATTTTAGAATTTGGTATGTTTGTCTTGTAAGCTTAATAGCCATAAAAGAAAACAAAATTGCCACACAAAAGTTGATATTTATATAAAGTAGACATCACAGGCTATTTACCTAGGGTTGTTTTGACACTTTCTACGTAGCCATTTCACCGCCAACCTCTGCTAAATATTGGAGTAAAATTGTGTGTTTTTTTTGGTGTTTGGCACACAAACTTAAAACAAAGAAAGTCTCGTGCATTTTGTAAAGTTGGTGTGTGCTATTCCTGTACAAAGTTTTATTTTGTGTTCAGTTCAGTTACATCTGCTGAGTGAAATGACACCCCCATTGTATGTCTTTGGCACTATTTCGTGAAGTTACAGTGCCATATAGGAGACCTGTCCTTTTCAGTATTCACAGTAGAATTTTGAGAGATGGATTTAATGAGCCTTTGCTTCCATTTGGGGTATTATAGACTGTTCAAAAAAACCCCACAAAGGCCTGCCATTTGTAAAAGTAGACACTCCAGGGTATCTCATAAGGTGCATATTGTGCCTTAACAGGCCCCCATTTTTTCACCAATATATGCCAAAATATGTGGTAAAAAATAATTTTGTGCATTTTTTACATACGGATTGCATTTTTGCTGGGCATTTTGTATATTTCATATGTGCCACTAGGTTCAAACCTCCCAAATTATGCTCAGCTAAGTCTTTTGAGTAAAAAGACACCCCCAATGAAGGTCTTCGGCACTATTTTGTGAAGCTACAGTGCCATATAGGAGACCAAGCCATATCAGTTTTTACCAAACTTTGAATTTTGACGCTGGGCCTATGTGCAATTTCCAAGCATCTTCGCAGGTTTTAAATTCAAACTACCCCACAAAGGCCTACCATTTCTTAAAGTAGACACCCCAGGGTATTTCAAAAGGTATATTTTGAACGTTAGCGTGGGATTATTTTTCCGCTAGCTTGTACAAGGTGTAGTGGTAATAAGCATTTTTTCTGCCTTTTTGACACACAAAGTGAGTTTGCACAGTATATTTTGCAAACCTTATGTGTGCTACTACTGTATAATACTTCATATGTTGCTCAGCTATGTGGTCTGAGTACAGCAATACCCCCGTATGTACCTTTGCCAGGTATATGTGGATGTTGAAGGGGCTCATTTGAGACGCAGCCATTCAGTTTTTTTTCTAACTTTGAAGTTTTACGCTGTGTCCATGTTCCAATTTGGAGTAGTTTAGATGGTTGGTTATTGAAACTTCCCCACAAACACATACTATTTTATTAAAAAATACACCCTGGGGTAATTCAAAAGGCATATTTTGAACCTTGGCATGGGATCATTTTTTCTCTAGTTTGTTCCAGGTGTAGTGGTAATGAGCGTTTTTAAATGTATTTTTTTACTTTTTGAAACTTTTTTTACTTTTAAAAACTAGTTTTTAAACTTTTGTTTTGCTTATTAATTTTTTTAAACTTTCTTAAAGCTTTTTTTTACAGATTTAACATTTTTCTAAGCTTTTTTTTTTACAGTTAACCCCTAACTAGCAGTAAGCAGCACTAACAGTAAATTCACCATTTTCCCATAACTCCCACCCACCCCAGCTAGCAAAATATATAATTATAAAATATTTAAATTAGTTAATTAAATAAATTGAACCCCTGAGGGTTAAAAAATAAATAAAAGTTAATCGTCAGGGGTTAAAAAAAATTAGATCACAGTATAATACTGTGATCTGTATTTTGATCACTGTAGGCAGTGATCGACTGGCAGGGAAGGGGTTAATTTTTATTTGGACTGGCTAAAGGGGGGTGTTTTTTATTTTTTACTTAACGTTATTAAAACTTTTTTTAACTTAATTTTGAACTTTTTAAAGCTTATTTTAAAACTTTTTTTAACGTTAACCCCTAGTTAGCCTAACACCAAATCCCCCAATTCCCCACTAACTTCCACCCACCCCAGCTAGCTAAATTTATAATTTTAAAATACTTAAATTAATTAATAAAATAAATTTAACCCCTGAGGGTTAAAAAAAAAAGAATTAACCCTCAGGGGTTAAAAAAAAAAATCAGATCAAAGTAAAATGTAATCCCTGCCAATTGATCACTGTAGTCAGTGATCAATTGGCAGGGAAGGGGTTAATTTTTTATTAAAATGGGTAAAGGGGGGTGGGATTTTAAATAAACTTTATTTTTATTTTTTTAACAGGGGGCAGGATCAGCACTGTTCCGGCTCCCTGCACTTCACACAGAACCAGGAAGTGCAGGGAGGCGGAAGGTAAGTATACTGAGCACATGTGCTCGCTCTGACAGGCTGTCAGAGCGAGCACATGTGCTGGGGCAGCCTGATCGGGTGCTACCGGTCTGCCTTTGTATTAGAGCGATTGCAGCGATCTGGGGTTAATTTTCCCCTGACAGCCGCTAGAGGCGCTTCCGTGCTTCTCATTGTGATTTTCACAGTGAGAAGTCGCCAATGTCCATAGGAAAGCATTGAGAAATGCTTTCCTATGGACTGATTGAATGCGCGTGGCTCCTGCTGCGCATGCGCATTCAGTCGATGATGTCGCAAGGAGGAGGAGAGTCCCCAGCGCCAAGGGAGCCCGGAGCTGGAGAAAGATAAGTGTTTAACCCCTTCCTCCCCCTTCAGCCCAGCGGGAGGGGGGCCATGAGGGTGGAGGGGACCTATTAACACAATAGTGCCAGGAAAACTAGTTTGTTTTCCTGGCACTGTAGTGGTCCTTTTAACTTTACTATGAATTCATCTTGTACTCTCACTTTAGTTAGTGAATAACCCTATTAGTCTTTTAGTATACATGTCACATTTGTGCTTGTGTCTTTCTTCATAAAACACTTAAGTGGATGCACACTGAACCAGATAATGTGGAAAGTTGATAAAGGTATTGCAAATAATATACTAAAATAGTTGGATTAATAAATCAGGTACATTCAGATATATTTCCAGCTTGTCTATTTTTATCTAAGAATTTTACATTATGTCAATTCCTTTCAATCTATATCTCAATAAATCTGTGAATTTCATGTAGTTGAGAAATAGTATTTTCAGAGCATACTACATATGATAGAAGGACCACATGCGTTTTATAGGGCTGGCACTACTATAAGGCATGAAAGACCTACAATCTCTTGTCACTCCATTTTCCTAGCCAGCTGCTACTTGATAAAAATACCTG